ACTCTGCAAGTTGAGAACGGTGCCGTCCACTGTCCCGTAGTCACCACGAATAATCTCGAGAAAAAGCTCGTCCGGATGGCACTTTTCAATGAGCACGTCTGCGAAAAAATCAACAAGATGAGCAGGCACACAGTTGGAGAAAGACGATCTCTTCCATTCTGAATGCGCGAAGAGGGCTCGCGCTGCGTCTCCGGTACCAGTAACAATGCTGCCCCAGGTGGTGTACCAGCATGGTTAGAGGTTGCAGATAAGTACATTCTTCATCCTCAGAAAATCCATCCTGGTTAGGTTAGGTGAGGGGTCCTTCACATGGAGCCCCCCGGAATCCTAGCTCAACTCCGAGAAGATCCATTCTCGGCAATTTTATTTTTTCTACTACAAAATAAGTCATCAAGGACGTCTTTCTTGAAGAGTGTAGAGATTTGGAAACCCTTAAGATGAAGCAGGAGAAGAGGACACTTGATAATTTCCTGCTTTCCTTGTGGACGAGGTGGGAAAATGTACAGCCCAATCCCGCTGCTGCAGAACGCCAAAGAGTACGGCCTCGTCTTCGACATCGTCCGCGCAGAATTGTACTATCTTCTGCGCCTGCGGCTGTGACCGTGACGATTCTGAAAATAGCTCGCGGATGAAGCTCGATGGTGCAAACCTGCAAACACAACCCAAATCGAAGCGACAAGCCAACCCGAACTCATCAACGTCGGGCTTTCCGTAGAGTAATGCCGCCCAGACTGGTTCTGTCCACAGGGGGGGTATTCCCTTCTCTACGAACGACCCTGGCTCTGTAAGGACCACAGCGGGAGCGCGCGTATACTCCTTTCGAGGGAAACAACCCCTAGCTTTGTCAGCCGTGTCCACGTGCAGCCACTTCTTATGCCCCCCTTCAGTGCTGGAGTAGGCACTCGCATCATCGACTTCGTCATAAATCTTCAGACATCTCAATTGTGGAAGAAAGTAGTGTAAATCACGCAAAAGATCTTCGACTTCCTCGCTGGTGAGGACGGAGGCGACGTCTCGCGCAAGCTCCATATAGTCCCTAAACAGCATCTTTTTCAAACCTATGGATTTCGTACAA